TTACAATCACATGAGCAAATGAACCAAAGTGACAGTATAAATGCCCTCAACAGAAGGAAGCAAATAACGATATTCTGCTTCCAAACAGAGCACGTACCCCTGACCTATCACCTACAACAGCGTAGAAAAAAGCACCAGTGTGATTGCTTTGTGACAACATATATGAAGCGGTCCAACATTTGCTCTTTGAATGTCCCAAAGTACAGGATCTCCGACTACAACGTCTTCCTCTTGTTCCTTCCACAGGCAGTACCCTATTCTACAGCAAATTACATCTTCTAAAGGCATCCCTGCCGTGATCTGACAAAACGCATTTTTTCATTTTGGCGCGAAATTTTTTAATTCCACTAATGAATTCTACATGTCCAAAGCCAACTTGAGATATAATTATGAAAGCCTAAGTCCGACTAGTTTTTAAATAAACTAGCTTTTTAGATTTGTTAAAACGCATTTATTTCCAACGTGATCTGATGAAACACATTTTTTTCAGAGATGATCTGACAAAACGCATTTTTTTTCTTACGTATCGACCGTTCACATCACCTGTGATCTGGTAAAACGCATTTTTTTCCTTCCCGAGATGGACAAAAAAATGCTTTTCATCAGATCACAGTTGACGTATGGTCTATACGCAGATAAAAAAAACCACACTGCTGGCATCTGTTTGATACGTGGAATGTTCACATGCGTCGCTGAAGTGACCTTTTTGTCCCAATTTACAAAGTCTGAATAGTTCATTTGTAATACTTTCGGGCCCCCACCAGCGATCTGCACTGTCGCCACATAATCGGTAAAACCGAAAATATTTCCCTTACTTCTCATATTCTTCTCAACCTTACTATGAAACGAGTCACAGGACATGAATGTATGACCCGTTTCAAGGTACTTCAAAGTGACCCTGTGGAGAAAAGGTTTGCTGCTGTCATTTAACAGCCTTGCCAGGGACGTGAACAAATACCAATTTTTATTTGGTCCTATCCTGAACAATTATCACACTGTATAATGATGTCCTTTGCATCCTCAGCCATGTCACCAATTGCTTTAACAAAAGCTGAAGTAACGTCGGAGGCAGACCTTCCCAACGTTGCCTCATGCCAGAGGACAGATCTGACTTGCTTTGGGCTTTTCTTTTTCGCCTGCTGTCCTAAGGGTGCGAACGTCTCGTGGAAAGCTACAAGGCAGTTTCGGAAGACGCAGCTTTTGACGCCCCGCATGAAAGGCAACAAAACGACCTTTTGCATGTCCGCCGATACAATGATCTCGGACCCTAATTCAGGGCCTTTCTCTCTATCTTTGTCTTAGTGTTTACGGTTTGATGCAACCCGTCTCTTGTGGGCTGTGTACAGTTGACACGTCTCAAGTCTGTGTCCATTCCAGGCGGCTGGAGCTCATGGTGTGAGAAAGTCAGACATATCTCACACATCTCGTTTAAAAGATTTAGCTGCACTCGCCTACGGTAGGGTTTGTACCCTGTCTTTAGAGAGCGGTACGTCTCTGTGAAATAGGAGTGCATTTCACGAATGGTTATATCCGATGACAAATTTCGCCTATTAGGAGCATGTTCTCGTTTGTAGTGGCTCACTGAAGGGTGGAACTCTTCAATGTGTGAGTCTATTGCGGCAATAATGTCTTCAATGTGTGAGTCTATTGCGGCAATAAAGTCTTCCCTCAAGGCGTGGGAAGGTGTTTTTGCACCCCTTTTGTCTCTAGGGGCAAACAAGTCACTTGCAGAAGCACCTGAGATTTTTAAACTGTTGAATACGGAATAGGATGTATCCGAGGGTGTGCAGAAGAAAACACAGACGCAGACGACGACCTGTTTACCTCAGTCTTTTGAGAGTGTACACGAGAATTTGGAAAAGTCACTTTTAGTCTTCGAGCGGAGTTGAAAAATCCAATTTCGGCAATCATGATAGGGTTGACTCCAAAACTCCTCATGAATTACTTGACGTCTTTGTTGAGAGATTTTCACGATGCAGTTCATTCTACAGTTGCATGGAGGAAGAATGGTGTGTTTTTCCTTAAGAGTAAAATGTGGTACTTCTCGTCTTTCAGATGCAACGGGTGTTATCGTGGGTGATGGAGACAAGACGGTTTGGTACAGCTGATCTGAGGACGAAGGGGTTGAGTGTGGTACAGCTAATATGAGATAGAGGGGATTTCTTCAAGTTGACCTGGTGATAAAGGGAATAAGTACTGATATGGCGACAATGGCAGAAAGTCTGTTGGGCAAGCTGATATGGGTTGCACTGGTGATGCAACAGACTGACTTTCCTCAGAGACACAGAATGGTGGTTCGCCTGCATTTTTGGTAAGAGACAATTTGAGAAATGAAAAGTCGTATTCTCGAGAATCTCTTTGCTTTCTTCAAATTTTAATGATTGTTGCGAAGGCGGCATCGGTGACAAAGGAGATGGAACATTGTCAAATTCAGACAGGAGATCAGACAAAGACCCGCGCTCTCCCACCATCAGCGTTGAAGTTGGTTCATGCTGAGTCAAGGGACAATGGACTGGAGTTGATGTTGCAACTGGCAACAGTTCAGCGAACTCTCTGTTTTCGCTCGAGTCAGCGAATGGATTTGACACACCTGAACTCTCTGACAGATGCTCATTTTCACCAGAATCATCGTCGCCAAAATGAAGGCGTCGACGTGAACTCTTTACAGGGGTAGGAAAATGGGGATCTGATGGACCTGTGATCACCTCAGCACCAGAGAAAGCTGGAACCTCTATAGCGGAGGCTGCTGTGGCTGCTGATCTTTGGATTTCTTGCAAACGTCGACGTTTTACCAATGTGGTTTATAACTTTCGTCAGAGTTGTGATCGTCGTTATGCTCTTGGACGATTTTCCTGAAAGGCACGTGTTTAAAAACGAATAAGAAGTGGAGGTGTCCTTGTGATTTGACTGAATAGTTAATTTCATTTTAACAACAGTCTTACACCTAGACGAATATTTTAGGAACTCGTCAACAGTGGTGCAAATGTCAAAAATAAACTAAAATGACATGTCACGTATTTGTCTTCTTCAAAAGCATTACCTCTACAGTTACTCTAGACCATTAAAATGTTCCCGACTCAAGACTGGTAAAACAGGAGCCACGAAAACTTAATGAAAGCTCCCTAAAATGCAATGAAAATAACATGATTGCAACATACCTTTTCATAAGTTCTTTGAACCGTTGTTGTGCATTCATGTTGAAAGAGTCACCACATGTCTTTTCAATAAACTGGTGGTCAAGAAACGAATTCCGTACGCATTTAAATCACCGAATGGCATATTCACTCACCAGAATTAATAGCTGGATAAAAGTGACCGAATCTTTCGTTACCATTACCAGTGTGAGCAGTATCAATAAATTACTGCCCAACATCTCAAGTGTCAAAAAAAGACTAAGACGAAACAACGACAAGAGGACGATGCCTGTGAGATGGCCCGGGAGTTGTGCCGCGTTATTAAGTGATATTATTATTATCTGGTCAGCCACGGTTCCGAATGCTGACCCTACAGAGCAGACTCCTCCCCAACCCCTCTTCCTCCTTCTCCTTCTCCTTCTCCTTCTCCCTTCTCCCTTCTCCCTTTTCCCTTCTTCCTTCTTCTTCTTCTTCTTCTTCTTCTTCTTCTTCTTCTTCTTCTTCTTCTTCTTCTTCTTCTTCTTCTTCTTCTTCTTCTTCTTCTTCTTCTTCTTCTTCTTCTTCTTCTTCTTCTTCTTCTTCTTCTTCTTCTTCTTCTTCTTCTTCTTCTTCTTCTTCTTCTTCTTCTTCTTCTTCTTCTTCTTCTTCTTCTTCTTCTTCAGTAAAAGCTTTTGTATGTACACTGTAGAACAGAATCTGAACAAGAAATTTTAATACCCTTTTTGCAGCCGTAGAAAATACGTTTAACCAGCAGTGAATATGGAAGCAAAACACAAGACTTCTCTAGTGATGATCTGATAAAACGCATTTAAATGCGTTTTACCGGATCACAGCTAGTTAACAGGACGCAGAAAATAAATGCGTTTTGTCAGATCATTCTGGGATTAATGCGTTGAAAATAAAACGCATTTCTACAAGGAAGATCTGATAAAACGCATTCTTCTTGTTTGTTTGTTTGTCTTTAGCTCAAATTCAATCAAATTTGGCATAGTCATGGTAAATGAGATATATTTTTATGTGGGATAGTCAAACAAAAACAACATTGATGTTTGTTTGTTTAATTAGCAAAAAACACTCAATCGCGATTATCTCGAAACCTTGATTTTGAGAAAAATGCGTTTTGTCAGATCACGGTAGATCCGCTTGTCTTAGCATTACATTGAACCTAAGGGCAAAATATGCTCAAAGTCTACTGAATTATCAACAACAACAAACAAAAATAACTATAATAATTACAGCAGTAGCAGCAAAAACAGCAATAACAGTAATAATAATAACAACAAAAGCAAAAACAACAACAACAATAATTGCGGCTGGAACGTTGCGTTCATCCCATGTCATGTTGACTGTGACATTCATTGTTCATTGTTTCAGGAAGCAACATCCCTGCATTCCGGACAAGGCCTTGATGCTCTGTTGCTCTCTCCAGAATGTCGCTGGCGGTCTTTCTACTGATTGTGCCAGTGCATATGTGGTTGAACGTTCTTCTGTTCTTTCCTGGCTGTGACAGATAGGCGAAGCAGCCCGCTTCCTTAATCATCTGAATTATGGTTACAAAGAGTAAACCTAAAGCAACCTATTCCTGGAAGGTTTTTTTTTTCTTCAGAGCAGTACAAAACCTCTCTACATGTATGCATAATGGCAAGTCTCTAACACCTGATACATTCTTGAAATGTTTCACTACTGACGCATTTGTGTGCATTATATCATTTTACCTCTTAGAAAGTCGACACAAAAGAATAAGAGATAGTATAGGACTAGAAGAAGGCGAAATTCTTTCATCGTGACACAGAATGCTTAATCTCCAAACAAAAAGCGCTCTTCTGCTGATCCAACCTTTTTCTTTAGCAGACAGGAAGCTATCCTGAAATAGGGATTACATATTAGCGTGTGCTCCTTAGAGTCTGTACTGTCATGGCCGCCGTTCTTCGTTTCTCTAAAAAAAACTTCGCTGCGCAGCGTGCACAACATAAGCTGAGCCATCACACCATAGTGAAGGACAAATCACTAGTCTCGGTATAGTACAGTGTGTGCAGCATCCCCCACCCCTTGCCCTTCATTTAGCTCAGATTGAGTGAAATTGCTCCCTCCTTGGTAAACCGGATTTATGTCAAAGTGCACGGTCTAGGGTGCTATAATGCAAGTTTATGAAGTTACTTTTTAAAACTCAAACAAATGATGAAGACCCTTATCCTACTTCAAGTACTGTGCTCTCTCGGATTTTATAATTCAGGTAGGTTTGTAATGGCTATCAAGAAACTTACGCAAACTTTCCTAATGCAGGAAATAGATTAGAGGTACGCTCATAAAAAATACTGGTCTATCACATAGGAAAGAGTGAATAGAATAGAGAAGAATGATGATTCCTGTTGTTATGGTTATGGTACTTCGACTGGGTTGTAAAAGGAACCTTCTGTTGAAGGAGACAAATGCAGCTACCTTAAATAACTATACTGAATGCAACAAGGTGGCCCTGACGAAGAGCGCGCTCTTCGGGGCTCCAAACATTTCAAATAGATAGGCTACCACACACACACACACACACACACACACACACACACACACACACACACAAGCTACAACAACAATGACGAACAAACAAAAGCAACACCTATATAAATACAACCCCCCCCCCACCCCCCAATAACAAGAACGAAAGTACACAAAACTCAGTCTCAGAAGGCATGATGGAAATTATGCTCTTTTAATTATGGTGTCCACAGATTAGGAGTTCCTTCTCTTCTTAGACAAAGTCAATTAATTCGGAGATTCTACAAACAGGTCGTGCACAAAAGAGCTCAACTGATTGCAGAAATCGAAGAAGAGCAGGCCTGCAGAAGGATGTCATACGGCATTGAACAAACCATGAGCGGGATAATCTTCACTTTGTGAACCATTACTGTACACCAGAATGATAGCATTCGTACAGTTAGCAGACACCCTTTGACTCATCATGATTTGGAAGGTGTTGTCAAAATGGATATTAAATACTTTTTTGGTCACATGTCCTATTATTTGTTAAGTTATGAGTAAACTATATGTAGTAGTCCGTGTTAGATTGTTCAGACTGTTTGAAATCAATGATTTAAAAAAAATAGTATACCTTTCAAATGAGTTTAGGCCTACTGAAGTGTTAATTCAGCATTAACCAGGGAAGAGTGTATTATGTGGTTTAGCCTATGTGCTGGGATGCTGTATCCCACCCAGCCCTGGTCTGGTCGCACAGAAAAGGCGAATGAACACGAGTCCTAAGTGTTCCAAATCAGTGCTTGGCAACCTTTCTATAATCAGTGCCATCGTTTGCCATCTGTAATAGGCAAACATGTTGGCAAGGCACACTTGCATATTATAATCAGGCGATCTCCATTGCCCACAAAAATTACCAAATCCCCCACAAGTGAGCGACATATATATGAGGTTACTGAACACACAGTGCTACAAATGAAACACACGCACCAACACACACATACAGAGAGAGAGAGAGAGAGAGAGAGAGAGAGAGAGAGAGAGAGAGAGAGAGAGAGAGAGATAGAGAGAGAGAGAGAGAGAAAGAGAAAGGGAGAGAGAGAGAGAGTTTTACGGAGCGGGTGTTTCAGCACGTGAGACATATGTATTTACTATAAATGTCCTGTCTTGTTGTGCGTATGCGTGAGTGCACCTACGCTTTGTAACATCTACTGCCATTGTAAACGATCAAGACAAATTTCTCCCAGCGAGATGAATAAAGATTGCCATAGTCATTGTCATTGTAATGAGCGACCTCGCCCAGGTTGACAAGCACTGATCTATATAGAGTCGATGGAGGCGTAAAGAATGATCTCTTTCCAGGAAATGCCACTTTCGACTCGAAGTTCGTGGTGCTGCCTCTGTTCCTTACGCCCAGCGAAAGACCAATGAACAACACCCAATGGAGTATACAATTCTTATCCAAGCAAGGCCATGAAAATGGAAGCAAAGTCTTCTGCCCATACCCCGGCAAGCAGCCTTACTGTAATGTGAGCCTTGCGAACTCTTCAAACGCCACCTTAAACTTCAACGGCATTACCGGGTGAGCTCTGAGATTTAGTGGGAGAAAAGGGGGTATAGACTGGGGTAGGGTTTGGGCGGGAGGGTGTTTTGCTTAACTTTGAACTTAGATATGTGCTTGCCAGCCAGGGCGCATCCGCCTACTTATGGTGATTTGGTAATTTTGGTGGGCGGTGGTGGTCACCAGGTAGTGACAGGTATTATGGGAAATACAGGTTCTAAAAGTTAGCTTCTTAAATATGGCAAAAGTGGGCGATGGATATGAAAATCCTTACAAACATTGCCCAATTTGTTTAGTTTTAACAGACGTTTGTACATGAATTATCGCTTGGAAATATTCGGTTAGGTTTTAACACCAGTTTTGTTCATTTAGAGGACGCTGTACTTGCGTCAGTGATGGAGTGAAGACAAGGACAGCGTGTTATTGTTGTGAAATAAAGTGCGAAAGCGTAATTCCTTTGTAAATCTTGAATGTACCCTATGACCAATGAAAGGATTATATAACTCAGACGTAGGAGATGTCTCCTCCTCCTCCTCCTCCTCCTTCTTCTTCTTTTTCTTTTTCTTCTTATTCTTCTTCTTCTTCCTCTTCCTCTTCTTCTTCTTCTTCTTCTTCTTCTTCTTCTTCTTCTTCTTCTTCTTCTTCCAGTAGTTTGGATTTGCTTCTCAGACCTCTCTACAATAAAACAGGCTGTTAAGGTGATATACTGTATTTATAGCATATCATAATTGTATTTCAATACTCCCTAGAAATGTAATTTTTTCTCTGGTCTATCTGTCCTTTTTTCTGTTCTCCGTACCCGTGTGTGCAAACATAATGCCTTGTCATGACACCACATTTTCCTACGGCCGATGGGTAAAAACATTGCTTTTCCCCTTCTCTCACCCTTTTTCTTCCGTTTCTTTTTTCCTTTTTAAATTGCAGGTGGCTTGAAGGCGTCACTGGTATGTCGCAAATCTACTCCTCTTCTTTCCCTCCTTTGTTTTTGTCTGTCTGCCTGCTTGCTTTTCTTTTTCCAGGCATCAAAATATGACTGTTGTCATATCGCTGTACTCCCTTTCACTCAAAATCAAATTCATTCTTTCTTATTTGTATTATAGTTTTTCTTCTTTCGATCCATCTCTAGCCCCAGCCAAACGGGCAAGACCAAAGACGTGCTGGTGATTCAGACTGAGAAGAAGACGCGTGTGCGAGTGTTCAGCGTACTGAGCAGGGACTGCATGACGGAATATCCGCCCACACCCCCAGAATATTGGTACACAGAGTACGTGGTGCCCATTATCTCGTAAGTGATTTCATTTTTTAAAGAACAGTTTTCTGTTCGTCGTGGGCTCTCCGACTGGGTTTATTTCTTGAATTTCCCCTTCAAAAACGAACGTTGCTTTTAAAATTTGTTAAATGATTTTAGCCCCGGTCGTTTATTTTTTGTTGATTTTTTTTCAGTTTAAATAATATAACAACATACACCCCCATCGACAAATCTCTTATATTTTTTCGGGGGGCAGACGTCTGTATGTGTGTGTGGACTGTCTGGCTGAGCATTTGATTTTCGTAAGTTCCTGATTTTTTTAATTTTTAAATTTTGTTTGGACAGGTTTAAAGAATACGTAAAGATGTACGCCCTTTTCGACACAATCCACATTATATGGGAGAGGCTGCTCCGACAACACTTGTCTGAGGCTACTAGAGCTGAGTGAAAAGCAACATTCCAGGAGACAGATGGGCATACTCAATGAAATAACCTCAACACTCGGGTAATCAAGCTCACGGCTTTTGCGGGAAGAGGCGAAGACCCAAACAGTCACTACACAGATCTGGGATAAAAATCAGTGTGATGACTCCTCCCCCCCCCCTTCTTTTCAAAACTTACCTGATCTAGTATCGTCGGTAGCCTAGTGACTAAGGTTCTGGACTCGAAATCGTGAGATTGTGGGATCGGAGGTTCAAGCCACAGTTTGACCCGACGTGATGTCCTTAAGAAAAGCAATTTGCATGAATGTCCCATTTGGCTTGGCCCTTTCGGAGATGGAGGTTAAACTCGGAGGTCTCCCTCTTAAATGAAATTGTAGTTAAAACGATACCATTCCACCTTTATTACCTGACTTGATACGTACTTCCTGGTTCCTCACTCTCTGTTGGGCAACATTTGGATCGCCGAGACGTCATATTATGTGAAAGAGGCTTTTAGCTTTTTTTAGAAGTGGAGAGGGGACTTAAAACGTATTTTAATGACCCAAATTCTTTTAGTCTGCCTATTATTCAACATAACAGTACAATCATTTGTCTGTATTCGTCTATCAATTTCCGATGGGCAGTTGGCAGGAGCTCGGTGTGCTTTGCCTCTTCTTTCCTATCAAACATCTATCTCTCTTATCTCTCGTCTGTCTTTTCTTTGTATGCAACTCTCTAGTAAAAGGCTCTAATCTCCGGCATTTACATAAACATAATATTTTCTCTGCAAGTGCGGTGAGACTTATTCAGTATTTATTGGACCAAATGTTGCCAGTGCCGTAAAATCAATCAACTGTTCTTTTTTCTTCGTATACCCGGTGTGTGCTGATTGAGTGTTTGCTTGTCTGGCTGTGTGCTTATATTTGTTTCTGTGTATGTTTGAGTGGCTTTTTACTCGCGCATGTCCAGGTTGGTCTATCACAGCGAGTGCTTGAAGGTCTTTTGAGTGTTTGCTTGCAGGTTTTGGAAAGCGCCACTGGTAGTGGTAGGTCAAATTAAGCTTTTTTTTCCCTCATTATTTCAAACTGTCTGTCTAACTCTTTCTCCTTCTAAATGTGACAGTGGGTGGTTGACAGGTGCTCTAGTGTGATTTACTCCTTCTTTCCTATCAAACATCTATCGTCCTTATCTCCCCTCTTTCTGTTTCGTGTTTGATACTCTCTTAAAACCCCGCCAATCTTCGGTACCTAAATGACCTTATTGTGTTGCAAGAGTGGTAAAACTCCTATAAAAACTAAACTGAACGTGACAGTCATTGTGCCGATGTGTCTTTTTCAAAACTTGTAACAAACTTGTTTGCATATTTTATCCAATGCATTGGTCGTTTTTAATTCCACACCCACTCTGTACTCCTACAGAAATATTCACAGCAGACGAACCGAATGGAACTTTAACTTGCATTTCAAATGATCTTATTTTTGTAATGAATATAGACGTTTTACGCCCACATCGACACAATTTATTAGATCATTAAATAATCTTACATTTTAGGAGGTGAGCTTAAACAGCACCTGTCAGGGATACAATGCCTAAGCAAAAAGATCGAGATAATCGAACAAAGTTCTCCTCACACGGACGTGAATCGAAGTCAGGTACATCTCGCATGTTTTTAAAACAAAATCTTCAGCTCTGATGAATCGAACGGAGCTGTCCTCTATTTTCAGGTACAAAGCATTCATTTGCATAATCTCCGAAAAGTCGACCTCCGTGACCATCCAACTGCGCACCGGACACGGGAAGGAGATATCAAGACGAGAAGCCGTCGAGGAGGAGCCAGAGCAACCTTTGTATGGACATGCTATTCACAACCCTTTCGACAACATGGACTTGACAGCGACAATACACCTATCCGAGTAAGCCGTGATTAGTTTCGTGTTTAGCCCTGACACCAGTGTTTGTCCGCTACCTCAGAATTACAAGGTTCTCTCTGACATTTTTGGCCGTTTTGAGTTACTAAGACCTTGAGGTCAGAAACCAAATTATGTTCTGTCTGCTCTATCAAAACCGTTAGATTTTTCAGAGTCGTCATCAAGATTAAATAAATTGCATTCGAAAAAGCATTAAATGGTGTGAAACTCAAAATATTTGACGTCAAAGTTTTCTAAACTAGGTACTGGGCAGATAGAACTTTGTAATTCTGGGGTAGTAAATTGTGTCACAACATGGAAGTTTTCAGAGTCTCGTCAAATGTTGGGCTTATGGAGTTATTGATGCCATCTTAAACTTTGTACATTTTTCTTGCTTTCGAGGAAAACAAAATAGCTTTAAGTCTTAAACAGAAGTCGAAGTATTTGTGAATGAATGACCACAAGTCTTCTGCATGCAACTCCCGGGCGCTAAACCGCTTCATCATGGACGCCAGTCGTTTGGTGTCGGAGGTAAAAAAAATAGCAAGAAAATGACTGCCAAAATTTATTTGACGACTTCCAAGGCTTCAGTATCCTTGAAAATTGCAAATTATCACTTCTGGTGCCTTTTTTTTATCAATATTTTTCCCGAATGAAAAATGCTGATCAAAGGAACACAAGGTTTTAATTTGTAGTTTTCAAGGACACTCGATCAAACCAGCTACCGTGATGATCCAACTACACACCGAACACGATAAGGTGATAAGATCATACCATTGCTATTCACAACCCTTTCAACATTGCGGACTTTTCAGTGATAATAATAATGCAGGGGTCTCAAACCTGCAGCCCATGGGTCCGTTTGGGCGTGTAGAACTGTTACTATTTAATTTTCGTGGCGTCTTTTTGACATCAAAGTTTAGTGTTAATGCTGTCAGCACGTTTTTCTCACTCTCACCTTCTTGTCGAGGTTTTACTCAGAATTTGTTTCTACTTTTTATCACTATATATATATATATATATATATATATATATATATATATATATATATATATATATATATATATATATATATATATATATATATATATATATATATATATGGACTACCATTGCTCAAGCTCGTGACAGCTAAATGTGGTGAAGACAATTTCATGCTCCAAACTGCTATTAATGTAGATCGAGAAAAAGAGATCGGTTTTAGTTGTGCTTTATTTGGTTTTAATACTTAAAACCTTTGGGTGAGGGATAGAATTTGATGCAGCTCAGGCTCACAAAAGCTGTATCCCGAGCGGCCCCCTGGTTTAAATGTTTGAGTTTGAGTCCCCTTCCCTGAATAGTTCTAGTTTAGCCTGGACACCAGTAGAATTAAATAATATCTTGTCTGTCTTAGTTTCCGTTTTTCCTGCCTGAATGATTATGTCTATGGCTGTTTCTACCCCGCTCTGTTTCTGTGTGAGCATCTATCTATCTATCTATCTATCTATCTATCTATCTATCTATCTATCTATCTATCTATCTATCTATCTATCTATCTATCTATCTATCTGTCTATTGATGAGCAGATAGACATGCAGTCACATAGGCTTGTCAATTTCTGAACCCTTTCGACTATTTATTGTGGTTAAAGTGTGATACCAAAAACATTGCTCTGTTTAATATTCTCAAGTTGTTCTATGAAGGTCTGAAAGTTAAATGACCAACAGAATCTAAAAGCCAACAAATGAAGACAACCATAAAAATGGGTTTCGACACATTCTCTTTCATGTTAGCATTAAGTGGGTAAAAAAATAATAGGTAATTTACGGCACACATCTAAAGCATAAACACATCGACCTATTTTCATCACTTTAATGTACACCCATGAGACACGATCCAATATATATATATTATGTAGGTACTTTTCAAAACGAAAGTGGTGATGTCAGACTTTCTTTAGGAAAAAAAAAACGGGGGGGGGGGGGGGAGGAGAAGGGGAGGAGGAACTACGTGATTATTCTGAAATGTGGGATAGAGTATTGTTTCTGTCTTAAAATAAGCAATTTGGATGGTAGATTATTGAAAATCATTCAACGCAATGGTCCTGTGTGTGCACCAAAAGTGGTGCTTAAAAAAGAGCTAAAGCAAATTAGCTTATGTAAATAACTGGGCCAAGATCATAAAAAGAGATGTTTGATCGCCGGCCAAAGAGAGTGCCATGCATATTATATTACGTCTATGATATGCATAATGATATGTACATGCATTGATATATATATATATATAGATCGACTACGTACATCACGGTTTGTTATTTGTTGTTGTTGTTTGTTTTTCGTGCTAAAAAAAATTGTAAGGAGTGCTAGCTCCGGAGAAGAAAATCATGGAATTGTATCATCACTAGTTAATAGAAATACTTTTCTAGTCGTATTACCCGAGGAGTCAAAAGCTCAGAGAACAGCGTGAGAGATAGTGTTCAGTCTACTAAAATATAATTAACAGCGCCATTTGTTTTCCCTTTGAATAGGTATGAAGCGTACTTGCTGGTATTCAGAGACTTTCCTGCACTTGGGAACGCCACAGGTACAGCGAATATTTTATGGCTTTGTTTTGTTGATTTTTTTAAAAAGTGGGTTGGGTCTTCCCCCTTTTTTGTCTAAACCTAACGCTATTGTAATGTGATGCAGCGAAAAGTTTTTCTGAGAGCCCCTGAAAGGTGGGCATCGACCCTGCCTGTCAAGGGCGAAACGAGCCGAGAGGGATACAAGTTCTCAGCAGAAAAAACGAATACAATTTTTTTCTACACAGGAATCGAACTCTGGTCCTTTGAGTGCGACAGCGAAGTGTATAACAGCGACAGCGCTGGCGCTGGTGATTACAGATGCATTTCTAAAAGTACTAAAGTAAATACTTAACAGAGAAATTATTTTAAAAGTGCCACAAACATATTAATATTGTAGCACGGGGGAACCTGGTCACTTGATGAAAATAGCACTCTGCATGAAACAAACAACATAAACGAATCATGCTAAAAAGACAAGGGCATACCACAAAACGTGGGAGGGAGTCGTTAAAAAGGTCCTCCAACAGAATAATATACCGTGTCTACTACAAAAGCCACCCATCCGGCCCTTGGCCGAACTTTGCTTTCCCTTTTTTCCTCGACATCTCACAATGCAGACAAAAGGAAAGAAAATGTAAAAGCAAAAGTGAAAGTAGAATTAAGTACTACCAGGGACTAACCAGCTACTCAGAAAACCCTCGTGAGCCCTCTAAAATAAAATATGTGCATTCTGTAAAACATCTTTCTCGGGGATTAAAAAAGAATCTGTTTGATATCGTTATTAGTGCTTACTAATTTTCTTACGCAAAGCACACGTCGTTTTGTATGGACTTAACGTCATTTTCGACACTGTTAGGTTGTTTAGGAGGTGAGATCTCAGAGTTTAATTTCCATCTCCACGTTAAATGGGAGGAGAACCTTAACTCGACAAAAAAGAAAACACATTTAACTCCTTGTAGGGGATCCGAACCAGTTACATCCGATCCCTAGTTCTGTACGATATCAGCTAAACTATCGTTCGTTTGTTTACTTTTCCCAATGAGCTTAGGAGAACACCGTCTTTATTTGTTTGCATGTTTGTTTGTTTGCCTTAGTTCGTTTTCAGCTTCAGCTTATTGGCCTTAACAGTTCGAGAGAGAGAGAGAGAGAGAGAGAGAGAGAGAGAGAGAGAGAGAGAGAGAGAGAGAGAGAGTTTGTGTGTATGTGTGATGAGAGAGAGACATGGAGAGAGAGAATGAGAGAGACAGAGAGAGACAGAGACAGAGACAGAGACAGAGACAGAGACAGAGAGTGTTGACGGGTATGGTGTGTGTACATTCACAATGCTGCAGCAAATTTTTCTATGTGGAGATCAATAAATTTAATCCTATCTAATCATATTTTACCTCCACCAGGCGCCTACATCAAGTCAAGCAAACCTGTAATAGTGTATGCCGGACTTAGCGATCGAGAGGGGGAGCTTCTGTGCTCAGACGGTCATAGCATTAGTGAGTCAGTGGGTGGTTGCTATGACATTGTGCTCTGGTGTGGTTTGCTCCTTCGTACCCTAACATCTATCGTCATCATCCCTCCTCCTTCCCATCTTTGTGTATAATTCTTAAGTAACACCTGTAATGTTCGGCATTTGTATGACCCAGTTGTGTTGTGAATGCCCAAAAACTTTTACTAAAACTAAAACTAAACTAAACTTAACTGACTCACGGTTTTTGCGGAACGGGG